TCCTCCAACAGGACCGCAGCCCCATCCACATGGCAAAATCAAGAACACACATGCTGGAACAGCTGGGAGTGATGCTGTGGGAGTGGCCTCCACAAGGCACCGACATGAACATATGTGAAAATGTGTGAGGCGCAATGAAGAAGGCACTCTCGCGGCAGCCAATTCAGCGCGGCTCTCAAGACATGCTGTGGGCTGCCGTAAAACAGGAATGGGAAGCCCCTACGCGCAAATGATCTTGTGACACGGTTCTTCGACAGTCTTCCCCGAAGAATGGGCGTCGTTGTGGCAGAAGGAGGTGAATTCACTAAGTATTAAACTTAAGGGGGCAAATAATTTTTTCTCGCGGAAACATTCGCGCCTTCTCCTCGGCTAAGTCTCGCTTAGAAACATTCATGAACACAATGCTTACCTTTTGCTCATTTTTGTTATCATCTGCAATAAAAAAAAATTTGTAAGTCAACTAGTTCTTTTTTGTTCGTTTCATTATTGTGATATGCGTTTCAGCTTAGGGGCACCTTCGTTTCCAAATGTAATTATAATTGGATGACTTCGTATCGTGACTTGAGGCATCAGTTAATTTTAATGGTCATGATACTGGTTAGTCAGATTCATCTTTTTTTGTATCATGTCCAGACGGCGAAAGTGCTGAAATGCTGCAGTAAAACCAAGCGCCGCTGTTTAAACGACCTAAAGCACTCGGCGCATGCCGGCAACCATCGCGACTGCCCCCGATATAGATTTGTCGATCGAAAGCATGAATGCGGCGCCAGAGCGTGAAACTGCAGGAGTGCATCTATCTCGAAACACTTGGTTACAAGCTGCTCTACGTGTGACACTACTTGTGATTCATTTGGCGTTGATGGCACTGTTGCTTTTGACAAACCGTGCCACAATACTCGCCTTCAGCTGCAGTAGTTTAACTTCAGATTGTTTTTTCTTTCTTTCAAACAGCACAACTGTAACACAAGCAGAAATACTGCGCTATAGGGGGATCGCACAGTGCTGCCACACCGTTTGTGCAGGGCCTGTCTATATGATGACTGGTGGATGGCGAACACTATACTGTTTCTAATGCTTGAAACACGCGCTCCGCTGTTCGCGTTTCAATTGATGCCGATAGTACATCATTTGTTTTTGCTTCTTGCATCAACTAGGGGCTAAAAAAGTCTAAGATACATTGAGGTTTAGATGAAGCAAACATCCTGCCTAATAAACTTGTGTTCATTGAACTTCAGTTTTTCACAGTACTCTCGCATATGATCACTGATGAAGACACAACCATGGTCGACGAGTCATTCGATGTGCCACTTCCCTGGAGCCACGTCGAAATATTTTTATTTTCTCAAAATTAACAAAAGCCGAAACCGATTTTGCACTATATTTCTAGCCTGAGATTTGATTCTATATGTGCAAGAACAGAACCTGAAAATCTTCAGGATAAATAGATATGTACCGAAAACTTAATTTAAGCTAACTGCTGTAAAATGCATAAATCGATATATTATAAAATTACTTTTGTTGCAATAAATGATCTAGTGCCTTTAAATGAAGTTGTGTCAATTTGACTCATTTACAGACAGTTCTTCAAAGGTGGCGTTAGAAGGGGTTGATTTGGTGAAGCATACTAAAACCCTATGACCAATGACTTCGACTAGGCCATACACTTCCTCTGATTAACGGAGTCACAGACTTCGTTTTACAGACATTATTAGCACACAGCCTGCTGATAGTCTCGGCGAGAATGACTGGTACCACATATGTTAAAACTGCCCTCATGACACATTCACGTAACGGCGTCAAGAATACCGCTTGCACTCGAGCACTGTATAGTGTCCATAAGTGTTTCCACGTATCCTTGTGCCGTTTTGCGCTGCATCGAAATTTTTTCAAATGAATCACCAACAAGGCCACAGTGACACTGTCATTGTACTCATAAATCAGGTCAACAAGTTAGGGTCAACATAATCTATTGGTCTGAAAAATCGAACTCTGATAAATTCAATATGTGGGTGTATCCACATTCTTTCAAAGCGAGGTTTTATGTAAGCTACTGAGCACAAATAAAAAAATATTAAAATTATTTGTGTCGATACAGGTACAATCCAGCCATAAAAATGTAGCGTTTTAGTACAAAACAGTACATGTCAACATGTAACAATTTTCGTGCACCTGCATACTGACGGTGGTTGAGTGTTTCTGCAACTAGAGCAACAATAATAACTGCAGAATATTATTTACACGCTTCTCTGCCTTACCACTGCTTAAAAAGTCTTAATGATAAACTAGTGGAGCTAGTACATGATTATCAATTTCTATTGAAATCATTGTAACACTACTAAGCAGCTGTTTAAGTGCATTGTTCAAGTACAATGTTTCAGGTATGCTATACAGTCAACCTTTTGAGAGAAAAAAAAACTGTGCTCTAGGTGTTACATCAGGCTTTGAGCGCACAGACATGATAGGCATTACCAGGCTTTCAGTGAGCTTGATGGAGGACGGGTTCGAATTCATGATGGAGGTTTTAGTTTTAAAAAATTTGACCACAACACAAGTGAGCAAATGTGCTTGAATGATTTATATCAGCACAAAGCATTCACCCGTTCACCAACTCACATGTTGCAAAAGTTACATACACCATAACATTTTAAAGTTTTATAAAAAGATGAAGCACTGTAGACAAGGTCTGGAATGTGATTAGGCAACGCCTTGGTTAATGTCTGCGAAAATTCGTTTCAGCAATGTAGTGAAAACTGTGCTTTGGGCAAGCACCATTTTAATACATATTTCAATTTGCAGTAACATTATCTCATCACAGTAACACGGAGACAAGCAACATGCGACAAACCAGCCCATACTGTCGTGCACATGCATATATAAGGTCGGGAGTGACAGAAAATTTCAAAAACCACGAAACCCCTCTCAATCCTTCAAATGCACCAATACATTTTGTGCTACAGATAACTTTTGGTATTATAACAAATATGTATTAGCTCAAAACTCGTGTAGATAAATGATGTGCTCTGTCAGCTGTGTTCATTAGGCAGGAACATAATTTGCCAGTGTAAAGAAATCCAACTTGATTTTGTTGTTGCGGCATTTTAACCTCGCTAGATCCCAATGTGCACATAAAGGTATGCTAATAACGAAGCGAATACTTAATGCAGCATTTCTCATTACTCCTGCGAGCCGTGCCTGTTTATATAGAGAGTAATGCTAATATCCACTGCAACAAACAAGACCACCAACTCATCTCAAATTCTCAGACAACCACAGTTTGTTTTTGCCTTCCTATAGCATAAAAAACATTCAACCAGACAAGAAAAACAGATAAGTATCAGTGTTATGGCAATACTTGCAAACACTTCTATCATTCTGCATTTTAACATGGCTGCTTACTTTATATTCCTTAACGTAACATGTTAACTTTGGTACACCTACTTGTAGAAGCACGCAAAGCTTGTGTCTTCAACTGAAAAACAACATGCTTCAAAGAGTACATACTGCTGAAGTTCCACATTTACATATAGTCATTCATACAAATAGCATAAAATTATGGCTAATGTTGCTGTACTTATTTGGAGGCTTACCATAGAGAATAATGTTGGATATGGTTCCCAAATAACTATCACCACCGAAATATTGATGATGATAAAAACTTGGTTGCTTTGAGGGCCAACATAATAACTCCAACCGCCAATGTAAAGTGTTCGGTGGTGACAAAACCATATGCTTTTCTAAAATATAAAGTTGTGCAACTCTAAAGCACATAAGATCACCATCACAATATCAACAATTTAAGGCATAAGGGTTATTACAAATTTCCCAAAATTTACAATCAAAACTGAGAAATAGTGACAGAGTGGGGGTCACTAAACTGAGAGAGCCTGTATGATTAGTCAATCTATAATAGCAAGTGGAAAACAAGGTAAACCTACTCCACAACGAGCTATGAAATTAACAACTTCCTTTAAGCGGCAGTGGCGATTTACAGCTTTTCACGAAAACAAAATAAAGTTACTAGTTGCATACAGAAGACACCCTCCTGGCCTTCTTTCTGAGCGTTTTACATAGGAACGCAATACGATTGACTAACTTTATTACCACAGTGGTGATATTTGCACAAGTGTATCAGATTTTCAAGTGTCTACTAATCATAAATCCCTAAGCTTCAACAAGAAGGTTAAGAACAACGATCATATAATGGAAGCCACAGTGTGGAGCCAACACTCCAACAAGGTAGTCAGAACCCTTCAGAGTGACAACTGCTGCTGCCGCTGAAAGTTTCTCGGCAAGTTTCCTACAAGAACATATTTTCCAGTCAGATGCCTGCACCTGAGAAGTGGCTTCAAAAACTCCCAAGCATTTCCCCGAGGGTGAACATGATTAAGTGCGAATACACGGGGTGATGCTATGAGGGGTATTTATTAATTCGCACTATTATATTTATTAATCACACTATGGTGCCTTTATGGTGTAATGGTTCCTGGGAATCCCAATTTGATCACACGGGGGAGTTTACGTTAACTCACTGGCGAATGCCAAAGGATTTTACCTTTACTCCCCCTCACGACCCGCTCTCGACGGAAGACTGAGAGAGAAGGCGGGCGCCCGAGAGAGAGGGGTGCGCGCGCAGCTGCGGCGAGCAAGGAGAGCGGAGGAGCGAGCGAAGAGGGGAGGGGGTATAAGGCGCGTTACTGACACCGATATCAGTGTCGCGTCCGTGGCTTATTCGGTAGAGCGTCGCGCTGCGGCCCGCCAAGTCCTCTTTCTTTTAAATATAGAGAGAAGACTGCGGACGCCGCCGACGGCTGTGGATGGTTTGGGGTCACTTATCCCTTTCCGACCCCGAGTCCAGTAAACTGGACATACAAAAAAAGCGATTACTACAACTAAATATCGGCCAAAGCGAAACCGAAACCAAGTTTCAAGCTTTCCCCAGACCATGAGAAATATCTCAATTAAACTAGTTCCTGCCTTGGCCGCATAGGCTAGAGGGGGCAGCACAGAGTAATGGTGTCTTACAGCGGCAGGCCGCCACGTGCAACGCGCTCAAGTAAGTGGTTTTTTAGAAAGTCATGTTTGTTTAATTGATGTAGCCAAATTTCGTCTTGTTAAATAAACTCAACTCGAAATGATGTTATTTAAAGATCGCCTCAAATAAGGGTAGTTTGTGCACAACGCGACAATATTTTTATGTCCAGTGCACTGGACACTGGGATTCAATGCTTGCGTTTCGTTGAAAAATATCCGTGAACGGAGTATTACGTTTGATTTTTAATACGTGACCCAGAAAATAATAGTTTCTAACTTAAAATCGAAACATTTCTAAAATTTATTGTTTTTTCTTGCAAACTAAGTTTGAACACACTTTGGTTGTTTTGTTTGCAGAAAAAGCGCTGACTGATGACGAAATCCAAGAACTATTGTTTGGAGACGAGTCAGATCTTGATGTGGATTCAGACTCGGGCGACGAAGCGAAAAAATTTCAACCGGAGTCCGCGCTTCATAGCGAAGAAAGCGACGAAAACGAAGATAGTTCCAGTGAAGATGAAAATGTCAAAAACAAGAAGTTTGAGAAAACACTTTTAGAGGAACGTACACGCCAAAAAGCTGCACAGTCCTGGAAAGTGCAAGCATTTTCGGCTCCAACTGACATCGAAAAAGCTACAGCTTCACTAGCCTGTCAGGAGCCTCAGACGCCTTTGACATATTTTAAGGAGTACTTTGAGGACGACTTTTGGGAATTTGTAGTGACAAGAACTAACTTGTACTAAGTCCAGACAAATGGAACCACGCTAGGTATGACAGCTAAGGAGGCCAAAGCTCTCTTCGGCATCCACATCGTAATGGGCAGCCTGAAGTTTCCTCAAGCGCGTATGTATTGGGCAGCAGCGACCCGAGTATCATTGATTGCTGATGCCATGCCGCGAGATCGATTCTTCCGACTCAGAAACGCCTTGCACGTCTGCAACAATGACAGCGACCAAGATGACAACAACCGATGCTGGAAGGTTCAGCCGCTTTTAGATCGTGTGAGGAAAGCCTGCCTGAAAATTTCGAGGTCGCATGCAGCCTGTGTGGATGAACAAATGGTTCCGTTTACAGGAAGAACACAACTGCATCAGTACGTTAGGGGCAAGCCAAACCCGACTGGACTGAAGAACTTTGTGCTTGCCGACCGTCTAGGGAGGGTACTGGACTTTGAAATTTACCAGGGTGCCACGACACCAATTCCCTCAGAGCACAAGGACCTCGGAATCAGCGGAGGGATTGTCATGCGGCTTGCTGAAACGATGCCTCCTTGGGAGGACTGCGTGTTGTGTTTTGACAGGTTTTTCACGTCGGTGCCGCTAATTGAGCGTCTTCTGAAGCAAGGAATGTTAGGTCACGGTACTGTTATGACGAAGCGAATAAGGACAACCTTGAAGTCTGATAAAGAGCTGCTTGCTGATGGGCGCGGATCAAGCCACAAGAAGGTGAGCGCTGACGGCAAAATGGTTGTGGTTAAATGGATGGACACGAGGTCAGTTACGCTGCTGTCCCCGTGTTGTGGAACCGAACCAGTGGACACCACAAAGCGATACGACAAGAAGCAAAAAAAATATGTTGAAGTAGAAAGGCCAGCGTGCGTCCGTTTCTACAACAATCACAAGGGTGGAGTAGACCTGAACGACTTCCTGATCAGCCTCTACCGCATAAGAATGAAGACTGAAAAATGGTCTGTTAAGGTCATTTTTCACTTCACTTATCTCGCTTTGGTGAACAGTTGGCTCAATTACAAGGAAGACACCAAAGAGGCAGGCTACACAAAGAGCCAAGTGCTGAATCTGCTAGACTTCAGGATGCAGGTAGCAGAAGCTCTTATCAGAGGCTCCGAAGAAAGAAAACGCCGTGGACGGCCATCTGCGGATGCTAGTGGTCATTCTGAACACCACCACAGGACTGCCGTCCAAATTCCCGGACCGGACGTTCGTTTTGAACAAGAAGGTCATTGGCCGGATCCGCAAGCAATGACCAACTCTCCTAGGTGCAAGCTTTCCGGTTGCAAGGCCAAGTCGCAAGTTCAATGCTCTAAGTGCAAGGTGTTTCTCTATCTGAAAGCAGGCAAGAACTGTTTTCGTGATTTCCATCACAAGTGAACGCCAGAATTGACCAAAAGTTTGCATGTTTTCACCAGCAGAAAGACAATGATGCAAGACCTTGCAGCAAATTGCGTGCTTCAAGTACAAATTTTTTTATATGAAGCCGGGCGACAACTATTTTTGTGATTTTAAAGCGAACTGAGATCCCAAGATTCCCCAAAGCAATATTTTTCAATCAGCATTGTTCGTTACATTCAACTTCCTTTGGAATAAATAAGTCCCAGTGTCCAGTACACTGGACGTGGTTCTCATGGGTAATCTGTTGTACGTGGTGCCTTCATAATTTTTTTGCATGAATTCTGACAGCTTCTAAGCCAGAAAACATCCCCACCAATTTTTTTGGTTGGCCATAAAAAATTCGGGATTGAAATGGTTATAAAGTGTATTCACACTTAAAATGCAGAGTTAGCAGTACACTGCATATCTAATAAAAAAAGCGTAGGAAAAATGTTATTGCTTAGACTAAAAAAACCTCTTTTTACAGCTTTTCCGTAATCACTTCAATTTTATCCCTTACTACTGCACAGCACTAGAACATCCAACCCACTTCACGCAAGCCCATCGCATGCACAGAATACCCACGGTGCCTAATTTCTAAAGTACCCTTTTTTTTATAGAGTTAAAGCAGTCTAGTAGTGTAACCTGTTCTACTATGAGCCCTAGAAAAATCCACATGTACAGACAACTGAAAGTAGGATTATACGAGGCAACTTCATAAATGGTGCAAAAATAAGCTTCCCATCATTACTCTATGAATGGTGTAAAAATAAGCTTCATGTCATTACTCATGTCATCAAGTGGGTTCTGAAAGTTTTCTAAAAAACTATAAGGTAACTGAAATGGATTGAATCAATCGCAGCGTGACAGATCACCAGGCTTGGGTGAATAATTAATTTGTGGTTCCAGGCAAATTCGAAGGAAATAGTGATTTTAATAGAATAACTTCAAATCAAATTCGAATAGTACAAATCACATATTACACAGAAAAATGGGCATATTTGTCATGAGTTAACTAACCTGCACAACACCATCGAAATTTGAAACAAGGCCTGTGAAAATACCATTTTTTTGGGGGGTCATCAGGAAGTGGAAACAACTTTGAATAGTAGCAGAACTTGACTTTCGGTAAAACGCAAGGGACAACTTATAAAATATGTTGTATTTAAAAGTTACAATGCTTAGAGCTTATAAGCCAGTATAAAGAGCTTTCAAACTTAAGAATGATGAACTGATGTGAGGGTAAGGTGTTAACTTAACCTTGAAGTGATATTTCGCAGCAGTGAGAATTCCCCCTGGACAGACGTTTTCATGGCTTAGCCCCCCTCCACTGCAGTGAAGCCATCTTTAAATAAAATTACAACCGGACTAACATTTATTCGTTCATTTCTCGAAATTGCCGACAACTTAAATTTGAATCAAAGCAAATTCGAGTACAGTAATATTCACACGAATATTCCAAGCATTCGAATATTCACACAAGCCTACAGGTCACGGATCACATCGTCATAAATAAAATGTGAAACTAGGGGCCTGAAAACTGTTTGTCCATGCGCTACATATTGCAGCATTTTTGTAACCTGCCTTTTCGAAAGCTTGAACACATTCTTCACTGTAGCTGATGTCTAGACTCACACGAATTGCTCATATCCCAGCTTTCAGTTATAAGACGAAAGACTCTATCCTTGTATAAAAAGCAGATATGAATGCAAGTACATTATATTTGATAAATTTTCTAAATACAGCAAAAAAGTGCTGCAATGTACAAAATTATTACTTAATCCCTTTTAGTTTCATCGTTTCAAAGTTTATGAGCAATAACATGCAAAGCTTTATTATCACAGCCATTCTACATTTAATGAATTGTGGTCTGCAGTCTCTCATGAATAAAGGTATATATATATATATATATATATATATATATATATATATATATATATATATATATATATATGATTCAACCACGGTGGGAAAAACAGCTATTCTGCAATATAGAATATATGGGCCACTAGTACTGATGATACAGTTGAAGTAAGTTTTGTGTGGTCATCACTGTTTCGATGTTCCCAATTTCATGAACAAAGTTTCTACAAATTTTCCTGCATTTTCAACTCACGGTGAAATAACTAAAGTTGTTAGGCCAACAAATATGGCAGTGTTGAGATAGATATTACACAAAAGCCTCAACTGGGCAGCTTTGTAGCATGTGTCATAAAGTCGAAAGCTTGTAACAATGCAGTGTAGAAACATCCCAGTCGTAAGGTACTCCGCTAGCCTATACAAGTTATGAAACTGTCATTACAATATGGGATACCAGAACTGTAAAATAATACCGCATTATCTTATTTAGTAAAAAACTATGCAACAGCACAGTGGAAGCACATACCTCTGGATACAGCTCTATAAGATGCATAATGCTATCAGACTGTTTATAAAACACTGACTAAACATTACTCTATGCCCAGTATCCAAAGGCATTTAATCACTCTTTTCCTTTAGCAAGGCACCAGCCAACTGCACCCAATTCGTTGTGAACCTATTCTATAACACGATGTGAAACACACTTGAATGCATTATTACAATGCACTGCGTAAGATCCTGTAGAAAAATTCAGCACGTGAGTTTCCTGTAAAAGTTGACTATTCATAACTTACGCTCACAGCAATAATAACTACATTCGTTGCTCATGCATAACTGGAAGTTAACATTTCGAAAATACTGATTGCCACATTTAGGCCAAGCAAAAAGGCAATGATTAACAGGTGAAGTAGACTGAACTTATTGATAAACACACAGCGTAGACTTCAGAATTCGTTAAATCATGACATTGCTTCAATTAAAAAGCAGAAAGGTCACAACAGAACAGCTAACCATGTAAGTTATAAACACGTTATGCACAAGTTGAACTGATAAGTCAACATTAAAGGTTTGCAGCATTCAATTTCAAGCAGTAACTATGCCAACCTAGTAACTGTGCCATTTTCTTGCAGGTATCAGTTGAGAAAAAAAAAGCAAGAACTCCCGACATGTTTCACAACATTAGTGGTAACTTCCAAGAAAAGGAGGAACTTGAAGGGGTGTCGTAATGCAGAACTTACCAGATATTGCAGAATATGAATAAAATGAAATGTGCAAAACGAAATTTAGGCAGGCGATATGATTTAACAATGTTATCCACAGATAAGTAGCCAGTGATATAAACCTGAGACAGGCCCTTCATCGTTCACTGCCACACGTCACAACGGAGAACTCGCACAAATGTTACTGCACATCGGCAAGCAGGCATATTTTCAAACCGAATAACCTCGGCCAGAAACTAGCAGAACAATATAATGTTTCCATCCAATGCTAATCACCGCCAGTGATATGAACCTGAGACAGGCCCTTCATCGTTCACTGCCACACATCACAACGGAGAACTCGCAAAAATGTTACTGCACGTCCTGCAAGAAGGCATCTTTTCAAACCGTATAAGCTCGGCCAGAAACTAGCCGAACAATATAATATTTCCATCCAATGCTAATCCCCAATCCAAATTTTTATTTGTCTTCCATTCTCTCTTTCCACCACAAAGCTTGCCCTATGGCAGGTTTCCGAGTAACCGCGTGTAGGACGTCTGGTAAGTACAAGGCATGACTTTCTCGCAGTAATCTTTTCAAATGCCTTTGTGGTGTTTTTGTGCTTTTACTGGAGCAAGAATGGTGAAATGTGTGCAGAGCTAGAAAAGTATAGTAGACTCTCACTAAACGGTAATCTGTTAAACGAAACTGCTGCATAAATCAAAAAACTGTCTTTCATGTGATTGGTTCCATAATTGTATGCTGCACCCCTGCTGGTCTCTCAGTAAACGGTATTCCTGTTAGATGGAACATATTTCCCTGGTCCCTTCAGGTTCCTTTTAATGAGAGTCTACTATAGTCTGTGAGAGTTCTTGGCAAGACTATTAATCCGTTTCAGGTAGCCTACTCGCAAATATTTATGTATTGTCAAATCACAGCAACCACCTTTTAAGGTTGTTTTTCTTGTTGCGTACATCCTTACACTTCAAGTATTTAAGCTAAACAGACCAGTACTGAAGCTGCATTCTCAGCCAAATATTTCTGAGAACACCACCATTTTCTATCAATTTCACTCCTTCCAAAGCAATGGTCATACTGTAAGCGCTCCTGCAGTACAAAAAATAAAGATAGTACTGATAAAGTGGGAGTACACTCACAATTTTGTTATGCTGCCTCTACCGGCTTAGCCAACATCCAATGACAGCAATATCGCCAACTTGCAGGGATTGAACTAAGATCCTTATATGTCAGGCTTATCAGATATATTATCTAAAAAAGACCCTGAAACGGTTCTTCAAACCTTGTCAGCATTTTGGCTACAGTATCGTCAAATCATTTGCACAGCGAGTTGAGTGACACCATGTATCAAGGCATTTATGGGTAATTACAGTTATACCCTTCTTGCCACTGCTTTGCCTCATATCATGGAACAGCCAGGCGTCACTGGCAACAGCGGCGCACTTGATGGGACAAGCCCACAGGGCACACCTAACAGTGTTCACTGTTCGGCAACAAAGGCTAAGAGCGTGGCGTGGTTTAGATTTGCTCCGTCAGGTGGCCCTGCGCCACCAGCCATCGTTATTTAGTCTCCTGTAGGGGAACAACTTGCGAAGGCATGTTGATAAACAAAAAGTATTTCAAAACAACCGCCAATAAGCCCAAACTAGGGCAATTCGGCTATGTCTTGAGGGGCGAAGCTACAGCTGCAGACGTGTGGACCTTGGGGTTGGTCATATAGCGAGAGCCCTATGCTTACTGCCCCGAAGAGCTGCAGCGACTGCTTGCCGTTTACCTTATGATGCTTGTACGGTGTTGCAGCTTTACAAGTCACCAATCGCTAGATTTGTGCATACAACTCAGCTGGTGGAATTCATAGTGTCTGAGTAAAGACATCCCGAGATAAATATCGTGCAGCTCATATCAACAAGGAGGGCATTCTAACACAGGCAGATGATGCTCGCTGCCCACTGCAGGTTTAGTGACGCAGAGTAGACGCATCCATCCCGATTGGTCACTGGTGCTACGTAAGAGGAACAACACTACATAAGTACGATGCCCAAAGGTGAAACCTTGTTTGGCCAAGCCACTGCGATCTGCAGCCATTTGTATGTTCGAAGTCTTGTACTATAATAAATTACACAGTTGATGCAGAAAACTTAAATCAGTCTGCAAATCACTCTTAGGACTTGCCTTACTAGCCTAATCCATTTATATAAAATTTTCAAAGCTGTTTAAGGGTCTCTTTGAAACAACTTGTATATTTTAGAGTCAGGTGTTCCGACCAAGGTATTTCTTTCAGTGATCTTTAGCTGGACGCTCGTTTACAGCCTTTTTAGTATATAACTAATACCAGTCCTTTCATTTTCCAAAAAGGAATGGTACTTAGGAATGCATGCATGCCGTAAGCCTGTCCGTCGATTCAGCACCTTGATTCGCTTTGAAGGAGCAACCAGCCGATATCGTGGCGTGGTGTGCTGCCAGTGATGGCGACCACACGCGGCACACTCCTTCAATCTATGCTCAGAGCACGGACAGGCTTGCGAAGGCTGCTGAGGTACTTGTACACGTGCGGCCAGATCTCCTTGGACTTTGTGCCGTGGAACTCGTGCAGGAGGCCTTTCTTGTCGTAGTAGGCCAGCAGGGGCTCAGTTTGGGCGCGGTAGGTTGCCAGACGAGCTCGTACCTGTTCACCCATACAGGCCACGACCAACGTTAGTGTATTCTGCCATGCAATCCATGTGTGCTGAACATTGTTCATATTTAGTCCAGTAACCCTTTTTGAAGGATAATGGTACAGATATGTCTCACTTTTTATTCTTCAGTAAAAGCTTTCTCCCCCGTTTCATGTTGCCATCAGCTTAATGCTTTTCCACTACATTGAATCAGGAACATTTAGGAAACCAAAAAATATATTTGGCACATTTCGATGCATGGTAAAAGTGATACGTTAAGTTTAAATTTGCTTTGTTCTGTCAAACTTTATTTTAAAAGTGGTGTCGCATTGTGTGCAGGACATCTAAAGTTCTAGATTTATGGTGCGTTTCTCCTTTTCTGGATCTTGAAAGCAGTAATTTTAGCATGTAACTATGGATTTTCTTTCAAAATTGGAGCAGTATATCAGGCGAAAATCATGTTGGAAGTGCACTAGACAAAAGATGAAGCAATGCCTTGCTGAGCCTAACTACATAACATGCACCCACAGCTGTTTTCTTGAAGTTATAAGGCCATTGTTGTGTTACAAAGCAGCACTTTGTTATGAAGGAGGCCCTCAAGTTCTTTTTTATCCTTTTTTTACCATTATGAGAGCAGTCAAAATTAGACCAAAAGCTGCTACTAAAATTATGTTTTTGAAATTGAGGTCCAAAAGAAAAGAATGGCAAAATCGATGCTTTAACCACACGGAAGCGAAATAGAAAACAAATGCACAAGATCTATGAGAAAAGCTAATATTTTGGGCTGAATAGAGTTCACAAATTTGACGCAGCAGTTGTAAATTCACTAACAGGATTCAATGCATTGAGTGACATCACTTTGATGTGGCCTGATATTCATGACGACAATAATATATATGGAAGAATTTGAGGCATAACTGGAAGTGTTCGTCCTTATCTACACCAACCAAAGAGACAGAAGTTAACATGGTTGATGCATGCGAAGACCTCAGACAGAGCCACTGGGCTGAGCACAACAGGCAGAAGCTCAGATTGTGTACCACATCTTGAAATAAGGTACCGCACAAATTTTTCTTCACACAGTTTTTGAATTGTCCCTCTGTACCCCTTGCACCGGGTCTTTTCGTGCTAGAAATTTGGCAAAAGGTTACAGCTGTGTGCCCTCGTGAGACAATGGTACAGGTGTTTCCCACTTTTTGAAAGACACTTTATAGGTCAATGGGACACATAGGTCCCACTTTTTCTCGTAAACTTTCGATGAAACTTGCTTCATCCTGTTTCTAAGCACGATATTCAGGTTACTCCACAAGCATAATTCCTGTTATCATGTGAAAAATATTGATGAAGCCACAAAGAGTTAACTGATGGTGATTTACTTGAAATGCAAGTGTCACGAAATCGCGCAAGCTGATCCAAGTTAACACCTCTTAGAAAGACTATGCCTGGAAAGTCTCTCTCTTTTCAATTGGGAGCCTCCTGCAAACACACCATCTCGGAGGCTATGCCTCCTGCCTAGTGTTTCGACCGGCCGCCACGTGAGACCGCTTGCCTCCGTACCGCTCAGTCCCGTGACATTACCGTGCCGCTCTGTCACGTGACATGATGGCTGCTCGGAGGCAAGTGTGAGAGCATTGCTGTGTTTGCAAGGGGCGGCCGTCAGAGGCGCTCGCCTTCGTACCGAAAAAGGAAGGTAAAATCAATGGGTTGGGCAGTGCTTTTGTGGCTGACCTTCCAGGCATAATTTTTTTAGCAGGCATTGTCCAAGCATACTGAGGCCACTTGCTAGGCATTAGTATCAATGCAAGCTGCATTGAAGAAGTCCCAACATCAACATTTTCAACTTGTCGCATGTAAGATCCAACCCCTTTAAACCTTGGAAAATGTGCTCTGAGTAATAAAGCACCCTAATTAACATGGCATAGCATTAGATTCCACAAAAGGTTCTGATGCCTTTCACGTAAGGCACAGTGGGAGACTTGAAGACAGTCAAAGTTGTGAAAAAAAATGTCTTGCAGCAACTTTTCCTGAGTACCCTAACTGTGCAAGTGCAAATGTTCCTCACTTCCCCAGAAGTAAACTTTGTTAGCGTAAATACTCCTCTTAAACTGAAAAAAAGAAATAGTTTAATAAAGACCACTTTTTCATGACATAAGAATAAATTAAATCACAGCTGCAACAATACAAAATCTATGGATTAGAGCTTTGAAACACAACGAAAACTCTACACGACTTAGTCAACTTATGTCATTGCAATGCACAGTGCTGTCATTCAGTAAAATGTCATTGACTTTCAACTATCCAGCTGATTAAATACTAACAAAGGGTCCTTGTCTACAACTGCACATTTTTACAGGTCTAAACTTTCATTATTTCAATCGTAAAATTGGCCACAGCTGGATATTCACATGTGAACTGTCAGCACAACCGCACCGAATTCTGTCATAACCTACTAGAGTCAGAAATATAGTTGTGATTCGAGTAAAAAACCTCTGGTCATAACCCTACTAATTGCAGCATAACTCTAGCTGCCCCTAAGGGAAGGGGACAATGTTGAAAAAAGAAGTCTCTCACTGAAAACGTCGATTCCTGTATCAGTAGGTTTTCAAGAGGAACTCGGAATGAACAATCACTAATGGTAGCTATGCCTTTCCTCCCCCCCCCCCCTTTTTTTCAGAAGTTCCAGTAAATGCTTCTACATTAGAATAAGCTAATAAGGTCTCTCTCACACAATTTATTTCTTTCAAGTTGTCAGTTGATTTTGGAGTTTGCTGTTTCCTCTCATTTGCGGAAGTGAATGTTTGATATCTCACCGTAGCCGGTTTGTCGTCGGCCCGCTGCTCGAGTGGCTCTCCAGTGACGTCGTCCTTGAAGGGCACCTTGGGAGGGTTGAATTCCGTGTGGTACGTCCGACCGCTGGCAGCGTGTATCCAGCGGCCCTCGATTCGCTTCGTGATTTCTTCCTCAGGCACGGCCAGATTGAGCACACAAGACAGAGCCGTGTCCTGTACACAAAGTACATGCATAGTAATTACATGAACTGAAGACCCTCATGCAGTGCTAATCAAATATAATCTAATCTCATAAGACAGGCAGAGTGACAATGCCAAACAAACTGTTCACTGCAATCATTGTTGTCTACATTCACAATACCTTTTCATTATGCTATTATTCATTAGCACAAACTACTAAACTTGCTCATCACCTGAAAAGCTCAAACCAGTCAGAGCATGAAAATCTTGTCTAAAGAAGTTCACAATGAACACTTGAGAGAACACTAAAGGTTACGGTGATATACACAGTAAGGCATGCAGTGAACAAGCTTCGATTTTCGTTAAGTAACTGTCACACCGGAGCAACAGTGCGAAACGAGGTAGCTTGAATCTGGTCTTATCATGAGAAACTAAGTGTTCTATTACAGAGCCGATACAAGGCATACCAACCTTATAAAGAGCTTCTGCCTGCGGCACAGTACGAGGAAAACCATCAAGCAGCCAATGATCGTTTTTGTAAGTGTTGTTGACCTCGTGGAGGATAAGCTTCGTGACCACCTCATCCGGTACCAGGTTCCCTGCAAACCAAGCAGATATAGATCGTTTTGTGATCACCAGCAAAGGTAAGAGATTGAGAGAGCTGTGTCATGCTCGTGAGCCATAGGCCATCTCCTCCTAGTCACCCCTCTTAGGTGACTAGGGGGGTTGGCAGCCCTTCCTGCCCTCCTCGTGCACATGGCAGAGTTGTGAGTGTATTAGCATTTGTGGAATACAAGGCTGCCCCAGAGGAGCACAGCAGCCATAACGCTGATTAAAACATCACGCGATGTAGAACTGCATCGTTCAATGAGAATTGCTGATGTTCACATGACTGTGGTATTCTGTTGTTTCCTTATTTTTTTATACCTTCTATACACCAAAACTAAAATCAGTTTGACTACATCCAGCGAAACAGCATGCAGCTACATTTCGAACACTGCACAGTGGTCTTTTCATCATACCTTCCATCAATTGCACTATGCCGACAGGTAGTTGGTGCACTCTCATCAAAAAGGGACCAAGCTTCACAAACAATACAAAGAAGGCAAAGCATAATAATTATTTTTTTTTCACTCACAATCACTCTACTAATATATTTTGGTGCATAATAACCCCTTTGTTATCATACTTCTTAAATGAAAAAACCAATGCCAGCAATATAAAAGCAACTGACAAGTATGTACCTAAGAGCTTCCCCGATTGGAGCCCGGATAATTCTACAAAATATGGCTTGCAGACTTAATTGCATGTTAAACTCCAACAATTCATTAAGATTTAGGTGCACTTGAAGATGTGTAAACTCATTACACATAAATACAAGAACGATTTCTGTCATTAGGGCTGGGAGTAGCAATGTATGTGCCGTCCGTTAGAGAACGTATAAAGTTGAGCTAGCTAGTAGGGTTTCGATGTGAGAAAAGGAAAGGCATAGGAACGTAGACCCAATGAAAACAGATGCCAAATGATTGTATTGTGTGGTTCCGAGGTGTCTGTCTTTACGTTCTGTCATGGTGAATCCATTTGACTCGACTTAACCCCTCATCCAAGTGACTTTCATGCAAACAAGGGTTTTTTATGACAACTTTCAGTGAATATCTTTACTTTTATGACATTTTTTTCTAAAAGACATTATCTACTGCTTACTTACAAAGTCTACTACAATGATTTTATGACTGTTAGTTGTAAGTAAAAAAACCTCGAGGCACTGCGCCTCGAAGATTTTCACTTGCGAATAAAGTTCATTTAACTTGTGAACACAGCTCCTATGTGGGGGCCGAACAGTTTTTTTCTGTGCGACTTAATTTTCCCTTTCGTTGGCGCAGTGCCTCAGGGTTTGAATACTTCACCATGTATCACCCCGACCAGACAGGCGTCTGTCAAACTTTAAACTTCACTTTTAGTTGTACTTAAGCCTTAGCTGCACTAGATAATGACTTGCTTAATGTCGGGACAAATAACACTGAATGAGGTAGTGTTGCTTGAAAGACAACTACTACATGCCATATGAATTCAGACTAATAAAGGTTGAAACAAGCCAGGTGGTTAACCTAGACATAAAACGGATTCTATTGTTTCACTGCCTATAGCTCCTATGTTGTATCTTTCTGCGTAGAAATCTACAAACGTGTCAAACATCAGAAACATACTATTTGCACATTGCAACCCATGTACAGGGTGCAAAAGGTACCTGCACAACGCAGCTGACACAAGGACGAAATAAAGAGGTTATCATGAAGAGGTCAAGCATATAATTAAATGTAAACTATTTCGTCCTATCTGGAAATCGAATGCAGAGAGGAAATTGTCGTTAGCACGAGCCTTCAGCTCATATATGCAACTCATGATCTGTTCATAACAGCTGTATACAACCTAGAGTAATTAGAGTCGACAGGCAGACTACGCACAGCTGGGAAAACTGCAAGTGTCAGCGTAGAGCACGGAAGCCGAAGGTAAGGCAAGGCAACAAACAGGGGAACGGTCTGTTAGAGTGCAGTTTTCGGCAACACCGAAATATTTTATCCTATGAAAAGGGGGCCTAGAATATCAGCTCGCCTCACCCTTCTCCATATAGGGTGCCATCTCCAGGCCCAGCGGCGTCTTGTTCCGCACGTTCTGGCGCATCAGTTCTCCGCAAGAGAGGTACTTGAGCGCGAAGTCTCTCACGATCCATTCGGATATCGTGCCTTTGCCCGATCCCGGCGGACCCATGATGACTGCGCGGAACACCTTGGTCGCCATCGGTGTCTTTTGCGGCTCCCTGCCAGAAATCCCAATTTCTATACCGTAGCTGACGAAGAGAGCAAGATTTCCGTTTCAACACCGCGCACCAGCGGCGACAACGACGTCTCTATCAGCTTATCGCGAACACTACTGACCACAGAGACAATTTGATTGTGGCTTGTAACGTCTCGTGAGGCGACAGGACGTTGCATCAGGCAGCAAGCTCGTGTGCAACTGGCTGGCCGATCTCTAAAGACGAATGCCGCTTGACGTAAACACCGTGAAGAAACTGGCGATGCTATTTGAATGTCGCGCTATGCAGAAATTGCTTCTACCTAGTTCGATTGCACCGCGCTGAAAAGGAAAAGGCTAACTAATATACAAGTAGGGCCACGCGAAACACCAAAACTACGAACTTCATCACGCTATGGGACCACGGCACGGAGCAGTCTCCAGCGACCGGCGGCAACAGCTGTCTGGCGGACAACTGCCAAAAAAACGTGAAGAACTAAATAATTAAAACACCACTGATGTGAAGATCCTACAAAATAACTTCAAACAACCTCGTTCAAGAAACTAATACAGTTGCGTATACGTTATATATAAAAATAAATTCTTTTTTGTAGTAATTTAGAATACAACTTGCATCATTTTGCGTGCACGTTGCGTTTTAGCTCTTAGATCGCTCCGTGTTATGGCGGCGCCATGCTGGCTGTTTCGGAATGCGCGCTATGGTTTCGGACGTACTAAAATCATCTACCCCGCAGATCAGGTAAAACATTCAAGGCCGTTTACCCGCAAATCCATTCATGCTCCCGAGTTGTACGATAGCATAACTCTTCAGGTTACGCCGTGTCTTTGCTGATGGCCTAATAGTTGATCTCGTGTGACTCACCTGATCGTTTCATTCATAAAGTTCGTTGCCATGAATATATTAAAAAAATTGTACCGTCTTTTTCAGTGTTTCACTCCAGGGTCACAGCGTCAGTTTCGAAGGTCAGCACTGCACCACCAAAGGATTCTCCTAGCAGTATCGTCAAACCAGTTAGCGAAAACAGGGCAGTATGTGTTTTCGAAGTTCAAGTTCTTTCTCGAAGGCTACGACAAAATCTTGCAGAAATTTCCCGTGGCGTACCGGCTACATCAAGTGTTTGTTGTTGGTAAGTTCCCTTCCCATATTCGCTGCCTCATTATCACTTCTTGAGCCGTTGATCGTTGTCCAGTAACGTAGTCACCTAATTTTTGCAGTATTTCCCCGTACGCCACTTAGATTGTTGGTGCTACTAGGCAATATGTTGCAGCTTGCGGTTCGGTGTAGATCTTCACAGAACTTGGCATATCATGTCATGCACCAAGATATGCCGTGTCATATATCATCTTCTTCATCACTCGTGTGTCAGAAAACTTACATAATTACCATTCTCTGTGCTTCGTAAATTCGAGCTGTAAAGTAAGAAACAACCCGGATTTTCAGAAATATGAAAAACTGGGCCCTGTGCATTGCAATCACTTTCGTAACTCCCACCCTTGTCGACTGTTTCACGGTGGAAAAGTGCATTATAATTTTGCCCCTTGGGACTATAACCTACCCTTTAATGGTCCAAGGATGAAATTACCGTTCCATTAAACTATAGCACTGCTGCCCCTTTTTGACGTTCCATACAGCAGTATCACTGAAACAAGCGACCAGAAATTGTATGACATGCATAGCTCACTGCCCAGAAGCCCCTTTGGAACAACGCGTTGACGTGCTATGCAGTGAAGGCGAGTCAGCGGCAAGCTTCATACTACTTTGTGGTTATTCAGATGGAATGTTTTTTTTTTTGCTCCTTTGAAAACGAAATCAACTCCTTTGAAACTTTCTTAATGTCTTACTGATAAATCATGCTTTGCAACAATATATAAGTCGTATTTTTACTTGGACTGCTACATTGCGAAAATTAAGCCGCATTATGAGTTAAAATGCGTTTTTTTCCACCTTTGTCACAATATTTTGTCAATGTTAGTGCTTCATTCACTCCCGAAGTAGTTCAATATTATAGTATAGGAACTTATACAACAAAAAAATGTGCATAATATACTCGCAAGCAAATTTGTGCTTTTCGTAAAAAACTCTGAACTTGCAGCATACTGCAATTTTTCGCCAAGGCAGAAAATGAACCAAGGTAAAACTAAAAATTATTGAACTATCATAATCATGAAAGTGTAGTGCCTTGATATTCAGGAAAAAGTTGTCTCGTGGTGACTGCTCAAACCAGTAATCTTACATAAATTACTTAGCGTGACACGATTTCACTTGGGTACCCAAAGTTCAAAGCACCTTCTAGACAAGACAAAATTTTTTTGCGAAATAAAGTGCCTCGTGAACTTCTTCTGAAATTCACATAAATCAGCATAATTTCTTTCACCATAATTGGGGATGGTCGAAAATTGACGGGGTACACTTGATATGGAATGGCCCATAAACATATATATTTTGTCTTTTTTTTTTTTTTTCACTTCGCTCCTGCTTAGGTACGAAGGACCTGTACCAGGATGTACGAACCTACATGAAGATATCGCAAGACTTGAGAAGCGGGAAGTCCGCGAGAGAACTTACCAGGAGAGAACTTGAACTCTATTACTGGGTTTGTGCATTATCAATTACATGACTTGCTAATTACGTACAAGAATGATACGGTCAACTTGTAAAAACAAAGAGACCCGTGCGCTTAAATTTAGATGCATGTTAAAGAACCCAGGGGGCTCAAAATCGGCCACGGCATCTGTCATGATCATATCAGGGTTCTGGGATGCGAAATTTCTAGCTATTATGACATGAATATATCTTCTGTATTACGAGTCATGGAGGACATCATGATAGAAGGAAGACATTAAATATATTTTAAAATGAGAATCTGGACTTTTAGTTATCACCAAAAGTTGGGATTATATAAATCCAACTACACATTTTCTTGCTTTGCTTTTTGTTTCATTTTGCTTCCATCATAATGAGTCCACTATGGCATGAAATCGAGCCCTTCCCGTCATTCTTTGCAGCGCCACACCATAGCTGCTAAGCTGTGCAGGAATGTTGATTGCTTAAAAACCTAATGAAATCTTTAGACATTTCAGTTCCTTCACTGCACCATGATGTCTCATACTAGATGTAGGTTTGTAGAGAGCTTTTTTTTTCTTTTTTTGCACTGTGAACAGTTAGCCACATAAGCTATCCAGGTATCTGTTGGTCTGCCTTGTGAAAGGAGGGATTTCAGAGTGTAGTTCCTGCATTGAGATGCATCACTCCAATTTTACGTCTCAATAGTTTACAAATATTTGTGCAATCAAAGGGTTGTGCACGTACAAGAGTATGTGTCTTGCCTTGTACCCAGCCTTGCCATCAATATGTGGAAGGCATGATGCTGAAGTTTGTATTATAACCTGTGCAGAACTAAGTTTTTTGTCTGTATTTGCAGGTACCGCGGGACATACTCAAGATGGCACCCATATTGGCGATCATATCGCTGCCCGGAACAAACTTCGTCATGTTCCCTCTTATGTAAGTAGACCAGATAACATGAAATGTGCTGTCGTCTTAGCTTTGGAATTGTATATTTAGTTAGACTATTGATATCTATAGTGTATATGCCTTACCGCATCACGTCTGTTTCCATGCAAAACTTTCGTCATGCGTTGCTGTAAGTTCCACAGAGAGAGAATAAAAAAGAAAGGTGAGGAGGTTATCGAGGGCCACGGAGGAAGAAATATTTAGGAGCTGAAGCTCCTATTAAAACGGGCGTCCGCAGGCGTCCAGATAATTTCACATAAAATATAAAAATAACATGCTTCGAGGGAGGCATTTCAGTAGGAAGCACCTTGCAGCACAAGCCGTAACCACACACACACACACAAAAACACCAACGCTATCGGTCGAGGGAAGCAAACGCGCTCCGCGTCCCCACTCTGTGACTGTGGAAAGCAAGTGACCAATTCGCTCAGAAACTGAAATGGCAGCAATTTTCCTCTCTCCCACAAGACCTCTCCGGCATGAATTGAATCTCCGGCAATGTGAATTATCTGGTCGTCTCGAGGAGCGGAGTTGCACTTCCCAAATCTTTCTTCCCTCGTGACCAGGGCTGAGCCCGATGGGCACCCTGCACTGGGGAAGAGAGAAGGAAAGTTATTGCAGAGGAGATAAAAGTCACTGATTGAGCGAACTAGGGATTGCACATAAGTATATTTTGGTGCTGAAAAAAGAAAGGTTGTTAACCGATCATACTGCCAGTTGTTGCAGCTGTATTCCGGTTTGATGGGTGGGGGCTCATAATCCAATGATGCTGCTAAAACTAACATTAGGAATGCACTGAACAACTTTTCATTGTTAGATTTTCTCTGGAGCACCTGGCCACAGCACTTTTACAGTCAGTTACATAGCCTGTGGATGCAAAATTTTGAAAATAATCATATCTCGAGTAAGCTTGAAGTTGAAGCAAGGAAAAGGTTTTATGTTCCATTGTTTCCAAAAAGTACAATAGACCCATTAAACACAACCTGAAAAAACCAGGGAAATTTGTTCTATTTAACAGGAGTTCCACTTATTGAGAGAGAGGCGGGAAGCGAATTTCATGTATAAAACCAACCATATGAAATGCACTTGTTCCATTTAAGTGGCAGTTCCATTTAAGTGATTTCGGTTTACCTACATTCTAGTGTTCAAGTTGTCGACTGAAGTTCTAATCCATCATTCTTAGATAATTTTGCCACTTTGAAAAATATCTATTTTAATCCTCTACTTAAATCTTGTGTTTTGGCAGGCACTTTTGTTGATGAAACACTGCTCGTTCAGGCCTGTGTGCTCCTTTTGTGACACAGTTGTTCACTGCTGCCTGCAGCTACCTTTTTCCAAGACGCCTGCTTACCTGGCAGTTCTGGAGCCTAGAGCAACGCATTGACTTCTCTGTTGAACTGCATAAAAAAAAGGTGAGAGTCCCACTCTCCTTTTCAATCACTGGCACTGCCATAGGAAGGGGGGCATATAGTAGTTTCTCTCTCTAAAATTTTTCAGCTTTGCATGCGTACAAACGTACATACACGCAAACCTTCAAAAAGTACGGTTGAACACCCTTAAAGTTATTTCCCCTATTGTCTTAACGAAGCAGTGTTATTTCATGTGTTTTTTAATTGTCACCATGAAGCAGAGGAGATTTACATAGCATACTGCATTTTCACATGGGTGACCCGCTGCTTTACAAACCGGCTCTGCCAACTATACTGTCCCTTGATAAAAAAAAATTGTGAAGATTTCACTATTACAGGGACATTAGCTTAAGTTGATAGCACTCATATTTTAATTAGCTAACCTACAATTAATTATGATAAGCTATAATCTATATGACTTAATTCATTAATCAACATGAGTGAATAGTACGAAAGGATGCCATATAAAATTATACCTATTTTCTAGCACTACGAATAGTACGGTATGCTAACAAATTGTTTATTACTAATACAGTTCTTTCTCTATTTTCCTACTTTTAACACGTGCACTTTTAACACGTTCACAGGCACTCTGAGCTTGCACGAAAAAGATGTTGCAATGAGCGTCTGCTATCCCACTTATTCGTGTACATTACATACCGTTTCACTGCCACATAATGTCTGTGTTCATATGTATTACCTGCTGTGCATTTGACTAACTGCGTCGATGAAATTCAGGTGCACAACTATCGCAGTGTCTTTCGACACCTTCAAGCCAATGTTCCCAAAGGGGAAGAAGGGGAAAAGCTTCTCAGCGTGTTTCACAAGGTAATCTCCACCTCTTTTCATTGGTGGTACAGGATCATGTATGTATTCATGAGTTACTGCATCAGTTATTAGTATATTCAATTAATTAGTGAGCTTGTTGCCACATTTATTAGCTGCTACTGTCTGCTAGGCTATGCAGCCTATTAGTAGAAAACGTCAGGAACCTAGGTACGACAGTTTAGTAATTTAGTTTCACCAGAATGTCGAAGCAATTATGTCATGCAATAGTAATATACTGGAATACTATATGAAGCAAGTCTAGCAACTTTGGGGACGACTTGCTTCGACCTTGTACTCCCGAACTGTGGTACTTGGTGACAAGCCCTTCAGTGTTGATCTGCTCAGGTGCAGTTACACATTGTTCCTGCTTGCAAATGTGCATGTGAGCATGCTATCTCTTCAGCACAACTCGTGTTGCACTCTTTAGCCATCATTTCGATGACATGCGAAGCACGTAGAACAGAGCGTGTAATCAACACACTGATACGCTGTAGTAACGCGGACGCGAGGTTATTGGTGAGAACTTTGCGCCATGCCACGGGCAATGCGAAAACGATTTTGTGGGGCGCAGATACAACTCAGAAATGATGGGATGGCCTTGGCTGAACTTGAAAATGAGATTTACGGCACATGGGGGGTGTTTCTTGGGTTTGTACCTGGAGTAGTAGAGCTTTCGCCGGAAAAAAAGTTTTCTCTCGTGCCTCGCTGGAATGAAGAGGCTGTCTATCGTAGGCAAAACTAATTCGCTTGCTCAGCTGTATTAAAGTTTGTCTTTATTATTGCATAGATAGAAATGCCTTTTGTATGTTACACAATGACCTTTACTTTATGTAATTTTATGTGTTGTCTTTCTCAATATGGCGAGCTCTAGACTTCTAAGCATTCGGACATTGCATTTGTGCAATTCGTCAAAAGCAAGGTTGTGCGCATCTAAATAATGCCCATTATACCTACTTAATCACTTTTCAAGTGATCTTCTAAAACTACTTTGTACATTTACACAGCTAGGAAGTGGCACGCATCCAACGGTAGCTGAAATCCTTGACGTCAAGCAGTACTTTTCGTCCAAGCCTCTTCGCTTGTCAAGTCTAAGCAGAAACCACTTGGTAAGGCAGCAGGCAATAAGTACAATTACAAGGAGCAGGCATTGAATAGACTGCTATTGCAGGTGGCACTGTGCAGGATTCATGGAAAGAGTACATTCTTTCTTGGACGGAAGCGCCGTCTATGGAAGCATGGTGGATTCGTACGTGAGATGGATCTGGCTATGGCACGTGAAGGGCTTGGTCAAATGGACTTGTCTGAGCTGCGATGGGTATGTAGAGTACAAAGTATGTGGGCGCTTCTGAATTTTCAGTCAAGTGTATAATAATTGTACTAAATTGTCTGCAAAGCACTGCAAACCTATGCCTTTTTTGTAAGTTTTACTAATGTTTTACTTACTAGGTTTCACTAGAAATTAGTTTATAGAAAAGTTTACTCGATCTTCTCCCATACTCTTGGTAGCCTTGTCATCATGAGAGGAGACTAGAGGGAGGCCAGTTTTGACCGAGCCTTTAAAGGTTTGTGGAGAAGGTTATATGAGCAACAGTAAAACTGCTGAAAAAATTGAAGATATGCACTAGGAGGGAGCGAATCTCTCGAATGTTCTTTTAATAGTGTTTGCTATTTGATTAAATTCACACGTAATTTTGACTGTCCGAGCTACTCGAACTTTCCGAAGACAAATACAGTCAACGACCCATTGGCCACGGCCCCTTCAGATTTTCAATATGCTTCACCCCATCATGTTTTGGCATTGGCAGAGAAGCTTTCTTCAAACGCTTGCTTTAGCTACAAATGTATTAATTCAAGAAAACGCTGGTCCCAGAAACATGGAGATGATAAATGCAGCATGGGAGAGGGGCGGGGTCAATAATGCTATTTTGGACCTGAAATTTGGGCAGAAAGGCAGAAAAAATCAGACCTGAAGATTTTCAGCATGAAAATTTCAGACATCTATAAGGCAGATTAGCAACTGCGGACTCGAAGGGAGCACGCCCTTGTCCGCCACATCAGTTGTGTTTGGACAGAAGCTGAAAGAGTAGGAGAAGCTGAGTTAATAGCATTTTGTCTTTCACGACTAAAGTATTGTCGTCACCAGGTTAATTGCACACAATCATGTAACTAAATGCAATTCAGGCCTCTGCATTGCCTCATTCTTGATAAAACAGCTAGTAACCACCACCCCTCTAGTGCTTCACCGACCTGGCTTAAAGCAAAGCTTTCATTCTCATCTCGTAAGAATATGCGTGGGAATCCTCTCCAGCGTTATTTTCTGTAACTTTTGCTTCGAAGTTTAGGAGAAACATTCGAAAAATATTCATTTCGATTCACACTCGGACTTCAGTTGTACCCAAAATTTTGCTATTTGCACAGCTCTACTACACGGCTCATGCACTTGAGCTGCTCCAAGTTTGTGGCTACTTCTGTGCTGCAACTTTAGATGAGTAGTCATCAGTAAAGTAGTGTTAGCATTCCTAGAGTGTTTGTGCTCAAGACAAGCTGAAAGTAATGCACGCTATAACTCACTTCCAGTGTTGTGTCCATGGGGTTTCGATATATTTTTGATTGTTTGTTAGATGCCGCTTTCATCATAACTTCATTCAGCTGTATACTGTATAGGATGAGTGCTCTGATTGCCACCATTTGCGTCTTCGTTTAGGCGTGCTTCCTCCGAGGCTTTAACCCAATGGGCTTGAGCAAACGAGATATGGTGCACTATCTGCAAGACTGGATAAACATCTCTTCAAGCATAGACGGTATGTACTTGCAGTGTTTGTTGACACAAGTTTGTGAATCATGAAAGGGACCCTGGAATAGTTTTCTGAGTTATAAAAGAATAGTCTCACTATCAGCATATGGTTGCAGGAACGATGTGTGCATTCAAGGACTCGTTTTTTTTTTTGTTGTTAGACACAATATTAATGAGATATAACGGACAATCATGCCAAGAAAAGTATAGGGGATGTTATTATAGACTTAATTGCAATGTAAATCTGAAGAACGAAAAGTGGACGAAAAGATACCTTGCCGTGGGCAGGGGCTGAACCTGCAACCTTTGAATAACGCTGCTGATGCTCTACAAGTCACATACCAGAAAAATTTTTAGAGTATGTCAAGTACGAGCAGAGTTACACGGATTTGTTGCATGCTTCAAACGCTTTCTGTGGCCTTTCGTGCCAGCGAGTGCACTGAAACTGTGCAGGAAGGAGGATGAAAAGGGGACAAAAATATGTGTCTCTTCATCAGGTCTCATTGTGATCTTGAGCACATTCTTGTCTTTTACATTCAGTGTGATGACAAGTGCGTGTGTGGGCACGCGGTGGTCTCCGGCCACGACGACTACTGAGCTCGCACTGCTCAAATCTGCCAACTGCCATTTTTGGAAACATAATTGCCAATTCCTGGCTTTATGCTGCGCTATATTATTCGGCTCACGTTTTCTTAGTAGCCTCGACTACCGATAAGGAGTGATTTCGGACCATGCTAAAAAATGTTGCAGGGGCCTGCATCAACAAGTCTTGTCTGCAAAGCAGTGAGCTAGGTGTAAAATCTTTGTGCTTTTATCTTCTTTTTTTTTTTTGTCCTTGGCCTTCTGCATTGTCTTGCACCTCAGAACCTAATATGCAGCACAGATTGGCCCAATGCCACGTGCTGCTTTGGTCATTCATGCTGATATTTGTATATCTAAATACTGATACTCTTTGTGTGCCCTTCTAAGCAGAGAAAAAACATTATGCTTAGTTTTTTTTTTTTCTTCTTATTTAGGTATTGAAACTAATACAGTGTCGGGTTTTAGCAAAACTACACTCACTGCAAATGTGACTGCGGCTATAGATATGTACTTATCACAGAGATTGTTGTGTTGGTATGTTCATTAGCACTTCTATTAGAGTGCTGCAACTTCCTTTACTCTAAACTTTCCAGAGAATTACTTCTCATGTCCAGTTCATTCTGAAAGCTGAACAGTAGCTAAGAACTACGTCTGTACAAAATGCTTTGTTTTTTTTTTTCTCCCCCTTATACTCATATGTCCTGTACATCTTTTTGCAGGTGACTCTGTCTCCTTGCTGCTGCATTGCCCCATATTGTTGGCTTACAATGCGCCGAGCAATTGCTTTCGATAAGCGTGGCTGCATTTTGTAATGGCACAGAGAAGCAGAATGTTTGCATGTTTCTGCATCGAACTGTAAGGTACTTGTTTTGCGAGTTTACTAGAGCTACGGAGAGAAGGAGGCATCAATGACAACTAGAGAAATTACACCATCGTGGACAGCAAAACGCCTCGCACGTCTAATGAACCTTGCGTGTTGCCACAGAACGGTAATGCTACGCCACCGAGTCTAATGAACCTTGCGTGTTGCCACAGAACGGTATACTCCGCCACCGAGTCATGGCATGACCCAGGTAGAGGTGCGCGCCGAGGCGGTTTCGACCGGCGGCGGCGTGGGGGTCGTTCCGAATGGTCGTTGGCACAAACCGGGTAAAATCATCGGCGTAAGCGCACGGCCACTTTTCGCCGTCGGCGTGGAAACCGAAAGCAGTTCAATTTGTTTGTTTGTTTGTTTGTTTGTTTGTATCCTCTAACCCATGGCTCGTACCCACTCTGGGGGATTGGCCAAGAAAACATGTAGTCTCATACGGACGATAACTGCATTATTGCTTACAACGAAAAAAAAAAAAAAAAACGTGAGGGGGGGAGTTGAATAGTGAAGACAGTATGTTAAAAAAAAAGAAAGAAACCAAAGATTCAGATAGTGAGAAAAAAGAATCAACAACAAAGTAGACACTAATAGCTACAACTTGATTTTGGGAGCCGACCAGACAGCTGGTTTTGCCAAACCCGATTAATTTGGTATGTCACGGATTTATCCAGAATTGAAAATTACTTTTCGACCCGGTTTTTTTTAGTATCTGTTAACGTGGGCTTTATGTTGAAAAACGTTTAGAGTCTTGAATAAAATTACACACTGCATCGAATGCATCTCTGTGGCAATTTCCCAAAACAGAGGCACCAAAACTTAGAACATTTTCTGTGGTTAAATTTAAACCTAGCTTCGCAAATGGAATATCTAAAAGTCATTTCCTAATTAATGCATGGTTACGACATGAGCCAAAATAATGTTCAATAGTTTCCGATTCTTCGCAGAACGGACAAATGGGGGAAAGTGTCAGACCAGCTCTGTGTAAATAAAAAATTTAATGGGGGGACACGGCACCGGAATCTGGGGATTATAATTTCAAGTTTTTTTGACGGACTCCACTGGGCTTTCCATGGAAATTTGAGGTGCTGATAATCTGTCCATTGTGTGATATTTTCTAAACTATCTGTAAAAATAGCGAATTTCCTATATCTAACCCCCTGATAAGTATTCTAACTCGGGAAGTACTGAAAATTACTGGTCCATCGAGTGATGCTCGTGCCAAAGCATCTGCCAATTCATTTAATTGTAATCCGCAGTGACCTGGGACCCACACTAATTTGAGGAGTTTTAAATGCGGCGGTGCTAATGTGTGGAACGCTGCTAGGGCACGAGATTGTTCAGAGGTTGTCGGAGCTGCACACACCGAAAGTGAGTCTGTTAGGATGATTGCACTGGTCTCGGTCGTAGGAATTTTACGAAGAGCTAAAATAATAGCTACTAGCTCGGCTTCAAATATAGTAATGAAATCTGGAAGCCTTACTGAAAAAGACCAGCCGAGGAAATCAGACGCAGGTCCTACGCCTGCCTTTTCATTGTTGACAGAAGCTTCTGTAGCTATTACATTTTTTGTTTCTGCATGTACCAAGTAATCGTTTAATGTAGTGGTCAAAAATCTAAGAGATTGCAACTTGGCTTGTGGGGGGAAGATTTCATCGTACTCTATCCTAATGTTGATGGTTGAGGAATCAGTTTCAATTACTGTGCTAATGTCTACATTTATGCAATCCAGTTTCTTTTTAACGAAAATTATCTGAGGGGTATGAAATCGAGGCCAATGTGCAAGAAAACAACAGTCAGGGTCGCTGATAAATGCGTACTCTGATCTTCGCGCCGGTAAACTGTAGAACTTTAAGAAGGTTTGAACCGTTAGAATGCGGAATCGACAGAGGAGTGTTGGCAATCGCGCTTCTTGATACAATACATTATTCGCCACGAACCTGGGAAGTCCCAGGCATATTCGTAGGGCTTCTCGCTCTAACATTACTAGCGGTTTAATTTTATAACCAGCGGCCCCCGAGAATAATACACACCCAAATTCCAATATTGGTCGCACATACATTTTATATATCATTAACATCGTGTGTCTGCGCAGCCCGTATTTTCTGTTGCTTAACCTGCGTAATAAACCTAACGCCCGTTGTGCCTTTGCTGTTATATATTCAATGTGTGGGCTCCAATTTAGCTTTTCATTATAAATCATTCCTAAGTACTTGACTGAATCTACTTGTGGAATAGGTTCCCGATTATACAATACAGAAATTGAAACTGTATCTGCTATAGGAAACACCAAGAGCGCACTTTTACTGATGTTCAATGACAATGAAATGGATTGCAACCAAATTTCTAGTGTATTAATATATCTTTGCAGTTTTTGATGTAGTGAGTAAATGTCGCTCTCTGCAGCAAAGAACGCGATATCATCTGCATAAATGTAGACACTGACATCCTGAACAATTGGAATAGAGCTCATCAGTATATTGAATAATGCTGGAGATAGGACGGACCCTTGGAGAACACCACGTTTCTGTTTGAATTTATGCGAACAACAGCCATCCTTCACGCAATACAATTCCCTTGATTTTACGAATTCTGCTATCCACTCAGTAATATACTGAGGAAACTTTAGACTCTGCAAGGTGGTCAGTAGAATAGAGTGCTCGACACTGTCGTACGCTTTAGCTATGTCTATAGTTACTAATGCGGCGTACTGTTTCCTTTTACGAGCAAGTTGTACTCGACTCTCTAAATCCGCATGGGCGCACCAAATTGAGCATTCGCAACGAAAACCAATTTGATTTGGCTTTAATATGACCTTATTCGTCATCCAGGAGTTTATTCGCCCTTTAGAACCCTCTCTATGAGTTTCACCATGTTCGAAGTTAGCGAGATGGGTCTGATATTTTCTATGGTAAAACCTAATCCTTGCTTTTTTATTAATGGAATTACCTTAGCTATTTTCCAGTCATACGGTATCCAGGCATTCTTTAAAGAGTAGTTTATAAGATTGAGGACGTCGCCGGGGGATAGCTTGAATAAAATTTTAATCATAGGAACTGTGATTCCATCTGGACCAGGAGCTGACGATGGTAGATCTCGAATGACTTTTGATGCTTCAGACAGCGTTACATTTTCGAAGTCAGTGCTTATGTTAGACTTTTGCCAGTTGAAAGCCATAATCGACGAAAATCTAATTGCTAGACCTCTGCCAATTGACTCTAAAGAGTTCTTCGTTTCTTCCATTGATAGTTTTTCATAATCAGTATTTATAGTAGACAGCAGGATTTTGCGAGATCGCATATATTGAAATAAAGCTTTCTTATTTTTAGATTTCGAGAGAAAATCGAAATGTCTTTTATCATATTCTTCTTTAGCTTGGGCCACCGTGTGTTTAAATACAGCGGCAAGAATTATATAATCTGACCAGTGTTTAGGGGACTGATTATGTATTAGCTTCTTCCAAGCTGCCCATCTTCGTCTGTGATCTCGTGAACAGTCGGAATTCCACCAGGGGCTATAGGGTACTCTGTTCGCCTATTTAACAGCAAATTCAGCGTTTTTGTATGCCATTTTGATTACTGCGCTTATTTTCATAGCTTTAGTGTCATCTCCATCCCGAGAAAGAGCGTCTAAAGCAGTTTTTAGGTCGTGTTGAGAGAAAGAGAGAGATAAAGATGCAAGGAAAGGCAGGGAGGTTAACCAGACGCACATCCGGTTTGCTACCCTGCACTGGGGAGGGGATAAAGGAGAGAAAAAAGGTTGCAGAAAGATGAGAAGGTACACACAATCACGAGCACACTCGGGGAGCACGCACAGTTTAGAGGCGGTCGCTCAGGTTTGTTGACTTAAGGTAAAGTAGCAGTGCTTTAGTTGCTTTCTGCGCAACTGAGGCAGATGCCCAAGGTCCTAGTATCTTCTGCACACAAAATGGTCCGGGGTCAAGTCGATTCAAAACCATCCGTAGCTGGCATCGCTGTGTGTCGTAGCAAGCGCAGCTGCACAGGACGTGTTCGATGGTCTCTTCATCTCCGCAGTAGTCACATGTAGGAGTGTCTGCCATACCAATGCGAAAGGAGTACGCCTTTGTGAATGCAACACCCAACCAAAGGCGGCATAACAGTGTCGCATCGGAGCGGGAAAGGTGTGATGGTAGCTTTAGCTTGAGCGAAGGATCCAGTTCATAAAATTGACACCTTTGGAAGCTGGTAGACGACCAGAATGTGCGTGTGAGATCTCGAGCCAGCAGGTAAAGTTGTCTTGCTGCATCATTCCTTGATAGAGGAATCGGGACTACACGGGTTTCTTCATGGGCTGAGCAGGCTGCATCATCGGCTAATTGATTTCCGGTAATACCGATATGTCCAGGCAGCCATTGATATATAATATCATGCCCTCGTGCTAGAGCTTCATGATGGCAATGTCTTATTTCTTGTACCAGTTGGTCATGGCTCCTCCCACGCATGGCAGACTGCAAACTCTGAAGCGCTGCCTTCGAATCACAGAATATGACCCATTTTCCTGGACGTTCTTGAACGAGATATTGTAAAGCAGCCCTTATAGCAGCAAGCTCTGATGCCGTAGATGTAGTCATATGCGACAACTTAAACTTGATTGTCATTTCTGCAGCCGGAATTACAGCGGCACCTGATGAGCTGCTGGACGAGACGGACCCATCAGTGTATATCTGCGTTCGGTCTAAGTACAACTCATGTAATAATAGCAGTGTTGCTTGCTTCAACGCTACTCTGGAGTGACTGCTTTTCTTTTTGATTCCCGGAATTTCTAGACGTACTTGCGGCTGGCCGAGGCACCACAAAGGACATGCCGTTCTCGCAGCTGGCGTATATCCTGATGGAATGCTGTTTAGGTGCTTGGCTATGACGTCTGAAAACGTAGCACGTGGTCTTCCGGAAGGTAGAAGGGCC